TTTCCATTCATTCAGAAAGCAACAAGGCGTCACTAATGCCATTTCTAAAACAAGTGTCAAAAAAACAGGACACAACAGTACTATATATACATTATCATCATCACATAAATTAAAAGACAGACATTCTGAACAATGTGGTATACATAATAGTAGCACCCCAGGGGAAGAACCTGACTGCAATATGGCTGCAGTTCATGTTCTAAATTGTTTCTTTCTTTCCCTTTCATTTTGGTGCAGCACTTTACGAACTATACATAGACCGTAACTGTACACATAAAATTAGCCTGTATTTGTTTTTCTCCCATGATCAGCGTGCCAATATGTCTGCGTCTTTTCATTGTTCAAAATGTCAGCAGTGGAACTGGTTACTGACATGTAACAAATGACAATTCTGATTTCATTAAATATTAACTTTCACATAACTTTTTTTGCACATTTTATCATCAGCCACTGTGTTATGTACAAGTCTTACCGGACTAAACGTTGAGAAGATTATATGTGAACTACTTGTTTTGTTTTTGTTGGTTTTCTTTTCTTTCTTAAAAAAATCACACTAAAATTATGAGCAGTTTGTGATTACAGAAAGAAAAAAAAATCATGCTCTGTTTAGGAGACCTCAGTTGTTTCAAATATGTTTACATGTAACAAGATTTTACTAAAAAGAATCTGGGAAATGATGTAATAACATTTTCTTACTGCAAACATACAGGCTGGCGAATGAACAGAAACAACTTTAACAGTAGCAACTCTTTGTCTTTGTAAACAGTTTCTTAAATAACAGTATTTATGTATTACATTACAAACGGAACTTGCATTATATATAATTACATATTTATATATTGAAATATGAACATGGCAAAACGGTAGGATGCATCATATTAACTATGTATGTGTCTGTGAATGTGTGTACAGCTGTGAATAGATGAGTTAAAGCCACCTTGATCAAAGAGTTGAATGGATTTTTTAAAATATAACAACAAATGTTTTTTGAAGGTGGGAATATCCTGAGCTAACTAGTGGTTCTTCAACAAAACAATGACCAGAATGGAGAAATGCTAAGTAGACTCCTTTTAACTAACTGTAAAAGATAATTAAGCAATTGTTTTATTGTCATCTGCTACAACTGATATTCTTTCACAGACACGTATGTACTCTTACTTAATTTTATGAATATAATTTCCCTTCAGTTTAGAAGTTAGTACTGGCAGGTTTCTCAACAAAGAAGAACAGTAGTAGCATGATTTAAAATGTAAATTTGGATTAGTTTACCATGATGACAATGAATTAAAAAAATCAGGAAATTTCTTACTCTAACCAAATGAAAAAATTTACTGACCTATTAGCCTTTTTGTGAAATAATGACAAGTCTTTATTGCAAAACAGAGATATCACATCTGTAAAGAATTTTGGATATAAAAAGCTTTTAAATATAGTTTTGTTAGAAAATTAGAGAGACAGGAAGAATGGAGGTTACTGATTTAATTAGCATTATTTTTTCAATGCACAGAAACCATCTGCATTGCTGAAAGATGAGCTATTTGTAACTGTGGTATCAGTGGAGTTCAGACTGAACAAACATATGGAATTGTTGTGAATCATACAAGTTTCAAAAGATCCAATTCTGGTAAATCTGTGACACAACACAATACCTGCATTCTTGAAAATAAATAAAATGTACCAACATTTAATTCAGTAAGAACATGTTCATTTAACAAATAAATATAAAGAAACACAACGTGGTAAAGAAAGAGGACAAATGTCTATAAACATGTAATTTTATTGGAAGCCGTAGTATAAAAAAATTATCTGTGAAACTTGAGGCTAAACTTTACTATTAATGCTGTCATGAAGTCATTGAAAATATAAAGCTCTAGTGATATTCAAATGATATGTAGGAGATTACAGAAGTTTACAATTACAAATAAATAAAGTGTATGTTTCATTTATTTTCCACATGTATTTTAAGATAAAATAAAAAATGTGCTTGGAATTGTAGCTTATGGTTTAATCTTTCCTGATAGTCCTCCAAATGTGGCTGCAAAGTTGTCACCAAAGCCAAGAAGTGTTTTGTCAAGTATAAATTGGCCACATGCATATTTAATGCAACACTAGCAATGGCCTATTTTACTATTTCATATATTATCCTTAATGAAAATCCACAGGGTGCCAAATTGGTTTCACATTACTCAGTCAACATCTTCCAACTGTCCATGACTTCTTCAGTCTATTTTACTAAACCTATTACAAAATATATTATTTATTATTTTTACTAACTGAATTCTATCAAATCTGACAATCCTATTGTAATGAAAGAATGTTTATTTAACAGGAAAAGCAGTTAGGAAAGTGTGACCACTTAAATGAATATGAGCATACAGCAGCAACATTTCACATGCACACACACTCACTCACACATTCTTGATATCTAAGAGTTTTATTTTAACTCGTATCATGTCCATAGGCTCATATTTAATTAAAGCTCTAACTTTCCTTGTTCCCCTATATATCACATTAAATTTAACAAGCAATTTCACAGCTTCAGTTCAAGGTTGGTGAAAAAGAAATTTGAAACAATAATTAAAACATTTATAGGTTTAACGGGGCATGACTCACTTGACAGGGTAGTCAAAATATTAATTCAAACATTTATATATGTTTAACTGGCTATGATTCATTTCACAAGGCAATTGCAATATTATTTTCTGTTGAAAACAGAAGGCCATCTAAATACCACGAACTCAGCATGACAGACTGCTAGACCTAAGATAGGATTCTTTAAGTTTTTACATTGGCTCAGCTTTCCTTGTCAACTAGACATTTGAATAAGGAAAGTTATGGTTCTTGTCACCATACTTATTTAAATCTTGTCAGAAATTGGGCAGAAAGCATTTTCACTGTTGCCAAGACAGCTTGGAATTCAGGCAGTATGAACAGGAAACTGACCCTCCACTCCTATGATTTGACAAGGTCTGCGGGCTACTGGAATCTTAACTACGTTTTTATTGCAATGGTGCTTAGGCACTGGGAGTGGAGCAACTTTATTATCCTAAGTAGATTCCAAAGAAACGCAAGAAAAGCAGACAAACAAAATACAGGAGCAAGGAGTTAACACATTGTAACTTGTAGCAATATTTGACATATAGTTGAAGAGCATATGTACCAGGTCAAACAAATAACAGGACTGATTACTGGTGTGTTGGTGTGTATGTATGCAAACATTTAGTAAGTGTGGTTATCTTCAAAGTATCAGTAGTCACTTTCTAACTTCATGCACACTGGAAACACTGCTGATATAGTTTTCTGAAAATCCTTTCATCACTGTTGTCACATTACTCTGATTGTCTCCAAGTGAATCAAACTGAGGTTCTTTCTAGATCATTACTTTTGGAAACATGAACAAGTCGTGTGGAGCAAAATAAAGGAAATTCAGTGAATATTCCAACACACATTTTCTTTGGCCAAAAATTGCACAGTTCCATGGATTAAAGACTGATCATTTTTTATAAATATGTTGCAGTAAATATTCCAGATATGGAGGGAAATGCTTGGTTGAATGTTTGAAAGGAACCCTCATAATGGATGATCTCTCTTCATACACACACACAAAAAAAATCAATCATGACATTCACACCTTTCTCATACTCTCAGACTTACACTGGAGGCAGCAAAATTTTGTTTCTGAGTCAGAACCAGTTTCATCAGCAGTATCCCCCCCCCCCAAATCGCAGTTCTTATAATAACTATTCCAAAAAAACTGAAAATATGTATTTTCTCATGTTTTGGACAATCAAACTACTGTGCAAATAAAATAGAACCAAAATACAAAGTGAATCAGAACAAACATTTGATACAAGTCTACTAAATGGTATAACAAATAACACATCACACACCAATGCACGAGTGCTGAAACTTACAGAGTTAAAAGAGCAGTCTCATTATTTGTTGGATCTCATATATCAACAGTGGCTTGGGATCATTTCTACACTAATAAGTCAGAGTTTGGCCAAGTGGTAAACATGACTTGGGACACCCATGAAGATGGAGGAAAGATGAAATTTTGGCTTGGAACAGGTCATAATTATCCAAACACTGATGAGAAGAAGAAATTAGAGTCTGGTGGTACTTAAGAATTTCCACTACTGCAGCTTTAAGCCCAATTCTTGGTAAGTCACAGATTTGCCACAATTAAGAAACAGCAAGCAAGTCTTCAGCTATATATTCAACAGGTATTAAAATACCATAGCAATTCATGTACTCGTACTATTGCTGAGTATATAATTTAAACACATTCAATATCCCTGCCAAGTCAAGAGTGAAATTTGTTTTTACAGTCGGAATATGTAAATGCATGTTGATTAAAACCATTTTATCTTGGAATTTATGAAAAAGTTTCCACTGCAGCAAGAGGGATGACATAAAGATTTCTTTGATTTAATATGATAAAAAACACTAAGTCACAATCAGAAACAGAACTGATCATACCCATTTAACTGACAGGCCTCAAACTGAGTAAAAGAGGGGTTTCATCACACAGAAACAAGAGCAGTACAATGGATCCTCAAAACAACGTAGAAGCAGTTGGCATTCAACAAGTGACTTCAACCTCACATAGACTACAATACTTCTGAGTTTATAATATATATATATATAAAAAGGTAAAGTTGTTCCTGGTCGGTCATGGTAGCCGAGCGGTCTAAGGCATGCACTGTCTTCGCTCGCTAGGAAGCCGGGATCGTGGGTTCAAATCCCACTCAGGGCATGGATGTTTGTGTGCGTTTTTCTGTGTTTGTCTACAGGGCCTTGCAACGAGCTGATCACTCGCCCAAGGAGTCCTACCGAATGTGTAAGATCTAGTAAACCGAAGTGAAACGGAGAGTTTCATGGAGGTAGGCCTAGGCCCAAATTGGGGCTGTAGCGCCACAGAAAAAAGTTGTTCCTGTAACAGGCTGTGAAGGCCCATAGGTTCGCGAGACGTTGAGGGTCAAATATTTTATATTTAATCGGATCACAGATGGTGGTGAGGTCAGCCTTACACACTGGCTACCCTTTACCCCAGGGCCATAATATAATCTTCTCATACTTCTGTGCACTACTGCTATATCTCAATATGATATGAGGTTCTGACAATTCTCACTTAGCAGCATACAACAGATGTCACTGCAAAAGGAGTGGGATCACATCTTTCCTCAAAGAAAACAAAATAAAACATAAATAAAGTCAGAAAGAATAAAGAAAGACATGGGGAAAAGGGTGACATGAAGTAAATACTGAAATATCGGTTATGCATACCATCAACATTTCCAAACAAGATGCTGTGTAATTCTATATATGGGCTATGCACTCCTATTCTGGATTTGCATACTTCCTACATAGCTTTCATACATATCCAGTTTAGGCTCCTTTGATCATACAAAAGTATTTTAGCATAGATAAGCACGAAAAAGTACCATCTGAAGTAACTATAATGCTTTTTTTACTACCAAGGTGAGAACCAAGGGATCAAAACCCATACATGGTAATTTAAACAAAATGGAACTTGGAATCCACTTTCATAACATTGGAAGGTGAAACACATGCAGTGACTTACGCAGTTAAAGGCACATGAAACCACTGTCATCCTGTCCATTTAAGGGAACAAGATTAATTAACACTAATCTTGAACCTCAAGTGAGACATTTACATGGATGGAAAGTTGGGGTTTATGGAAAATGATGTGACAGGTTTATTAGCCATATACACGAGTGAAAATACATGGCACCCAGTACATTCTACTACAAGTAAAGTGTCACACTATTGTTATAACTGCTCTTTTGCGCATGGCTGAATATTCCGAGTTTAGTTGGACATTTTTTATAGGACCTTATGTCACTGGACAGCTTACAATTCATATTTCTTTTATACTAAGTTCAAAACTTCAGAGATACATATAAAGGACCATATAGGTGAAGATAAACTTCATGCTCAGCAGTCCATGTCCAACATTCACAGATTAAGGTCACACCATGAAGATTTTAACTTTTAAATTTATGTGACTCATGAAGAGGTCCAGAAGGCAAGGTCTTGTGAAGACAGTAATGAACCTCCAGGTTCCATATAAGGCAGGGAATTCTCTGATTAGATCAGTAACTGACAGTTTCTCAAGGACTTTGCTCCATGGAGTTATTTTCTTAATAGTGAATACAGAGCAGGCAGTTTTGCACCAGTTTGTTCTAATAAACAGTAGGTAAGTGTGGTTCCTGACTACATCTGTATGGGTGAGTGATTGAGCACTAGCAGGTGCGTAAAGGTCCTTGTACTCTGCGTTCTATTATCCCATGCATAATGAAGAGGAGTACATGTGAACACACACTATTTTCTGACAAGTAGCTGCAAAGGTTGACAGATGTGTGCACCTGTAGAAGCCATGTTTCCATCTTGGATTAATGGTCACTGCTTGAAATTATTTTGTGTTTCCATTCTAACCCATGTTAGTTTAATACTTCACAACGTACATTTTAGTACTAAAGTATTTCTAAGGTGCAACTGTATAGATGTATACAGAATTTTACTCAGTGGAAACAGGCATGCACAAATGCATGAAATTCATTATAAGATATTCAAAGGTTTAAAATTCATGGCCCAAAAGAAGACCTTTTCTTTTCTGTATAAGTGATGGTAAAATTAGACCACAATGAACACTTGAAACAGAAATATGGCTCAAAATTAGGAATTCTTATGGATGGATTGTAGATTCTTTATTGACACTACATAACAATAAACTGTAGAGGTTATTTAATACTGACAAATATTAGTCAATGATTGCACTCACTGAACTTGAAAGGAATGGACTATTTCATGCTACTATTCTGATATTTCCCTGGGGGAATTGAAGAAACTGCAAAATCTTCAGTCACAGTAGTTGGTGTCCCAGCCAAGATATCAATAATGCACCTTCTGAATACAAATCAGAAATGTTACTGCGTGAGCCAACTTGTTCAGTGACAGGAACTCTCATTAATCATTACAAACATGTACTCCATTGCTGCAAAGCTATATGTATACACATTTGATCGCTGAGAGCTGTGTTTTTCCATTACCAATATCATCATCCCCAAGTTAAAATATGACTACCAGGTGATTTATAATGCTCTTGGGTGATATATGTTAAGGTATTTCATTTCAGTGTCCCTATAACTGAACAGTTACCTTCACACAGTCTGAACCATGTTCTCTAACATGCTAGCGCCTATGCTACCTTTTAATGAAGTTTCTCATACGAAACTATCTCCTGAAATGTATGATATTTTAATGTCAATAGTGACCCACAATTATTAGTAAATTTCAGATGTTTCACATGCCAGAATGATTCAACACAGTACAATATCCAAAAGACTCTGCAATAAATACTTCTTGAAAGGTTCACTTTAATGAATGTCCTGTACAGTACTTAGCTGCCATAGTATTTTCCCCTGAGTACATTACTTATTCTTGTAATATCATATTTAAATTATTAATCAATAAAATTGATGTATAAACTAATATAAAATATATTAAATATTATAAAAACTCTCACAGAGATCACAATTATGAACTCAAAAATAACAATAATAAATTGGCTAGTAAAGAATGAATGGACCATCATAAGACTTATTAATCATGAACCACGGCCCCAACTTTTGGTTTTAATATACAGTGTATAAAATGCAAGGTCTGTATGGAAGGAAGATGAACTCAGATGGATTTTTAAAACTATGAGGGCACCCCATTATAGAACCAAATATTCTGTTATGGATTGAGTGATGTAATGTTATGGGTTCTAGTGGCAAAGAATGTACTTACACACAACACCAAAAAACTATAGGCTTAGACATTTTCAAGATTCCTCTGAATTTATTTCACAATTATTGTTATGGCATATCTCCAGTCACTCTCCCATTTCCATCCCTGATTTCTATAATGTGTAACATCACCCACCATTAGAGTATATGTAGCTGTAATTTGAAATCTTCCTTAGCCCAAATTCTTGATTCTCTTCCATGAAAATTGTAATTCCCAGCCTTAGCATTGATGGTGTTCATGTTTCCTTATTAGCTCCTAGTGACATATGTTGGAGGATTAATGAATTTAGTGATGAGTGTTTTTGTCACACATTGGTCCATATCCTGAAATGTCTCTGAACACAAATTACTCTGTAATTTTTAACATAACTGTAAAAACTGGAACAACATAGGGTGTACCATTTAAAATGCAACCCATATAACAATTAAGTACTACGATGCAGAATTGAAATGAAAAGTAGTTCCCCTTGTGTAATGTAACTTTCCCCATCACACCCCAGTAAATGTTACCCCAGCTGCTAGGCTGCCACTGTCACCAGATCTGCAGAAGCTCTGCAGGTGCAAGCATGGCGTATTCATAAGCAATATATGTCCTCAATCTCAAACACCACTTCACACTGACACTATATGCTGTTATGCATGCAGTTTTTAGCAAATGTGCACCCTGACAAGGCAGTATCAATCAGACAACACTACACCCTCCAGTAATAAAATTCTGGGAAACAGGAAGTATTTACAATTTTGAGAGGTAACATGCTATGCAACATTGAACAAGCTGCCAAACTTCTTTGTGTACAAATGTCTCAAAGAAAGCGTCTATATGAGTAACATATACATGAACCCTGGTGGATCTGAAACACACTGCTGAACAGGATGTTGACAGCACTGACCCACAAATATTTTGAAACATCGCACGTAGCACTTAAGATGTGTGGATATTCATCTCTTGGAAGCTGGTGGATATTTTCAACACCTGTTGTAAAGCTTTCATGTAAGTCCAAGAAAATACACAATGAAATCTAACAAACTGCTACCTTTACCTGCTACACCGATATCACCTGTGAGCTTGCATTGTGCTTTAAATGATACACCCTACAGTTTGAATAGGGTCAGGAAATGGCTCAAGTCAAATGTAACTCTCAATTGCAGAGCAATGAACACTAAAATATTCTATGTTTGTAAGTGGAAGGATTATTCGAATCATGTCTCAAAGTAATGTAATATTAAATTAAGATTGGATTTAAAAAGTGTACTTGAGAAAATAACCTCTTCCTACACAATAAATAAATAAAGCCATATTTCTGAAAGAACTTTCTGATCAAGATACATAGCAGAGTAGAAAAAAGTAATTTCTTCACCTTCTGTGGTTCAGTTGGTTGGCAGGTTCACTTTTACATCTAATTTTCTTAAGAAAAGAAAGTGTGCCTATGTGGTCACCATGCTGAATGCATGCAGACCTGTGCATCCCTGGATTTGAATTGCTGAACCACCTGACCAACTTTCATGAAACTTGGTACATATGTTACATCATCTAGAGACTTCCTCCAACCTCATGCTCTTTACTTCTTACCAGTAAAAATAACATGGGGGGTGGGGGGTGAAAAACGTGTGCAAATAAAACTACAGCTGCATGAAATCTACATTTAGCTTTTCATTTAACGGCAATAACCACTGGAGCCAGGCACCTGGAATTTGGCATGAATGTTGATGATAAACATACCTACATATTCTGTAGGAACTACTGCTCATTAATGAATAACCAGAAATGTGGGGTTGGTATAAAATTCTGAGGTTATGCCCATGATTTTAACATGGATAAAATCTCTACTTGATGGTGATGATAAAACAAAACAAAACAAAGTAAAAATAAAATAAACACCCATATCACTCAATATTACGAGCATCTGCATTCAAGCAATGTGCTGCTGATAAGGAGCTAAACTGAATTCTGTCTGATTATAAACTTACACCATCCAAATTAAGACAAAAGATTTGGAAGAATGGAAGTAGGCATTATGAGTTCTATCCAAAACTCCCAGTTCACTGATCAATTTATTACAAAATTTATGATGAATTTTTCAATATACAGCCATTATATATTAAAACTTGAAGGTTTCATCATTTTGAATCCACACCATTATGTAAATTCCATAAATGAAACCAAAATTTCCAAAATTGTGTCCTAGCTTTCTTTATTCATATTTAACATAACTAAGTAACATGATACAATGCAATGCTGGACCTACCACAGTTTATCTTCATCTTGACTTGGCAGGGTACTTCCAATTCACATAGCATCAGAAACTGTTTGAAAGGTAAAGCAGAGGCAGTGAAGACAAAATCAGGCAACAAATCTGATTCAGAAAAATGTAACAGGAAATGTATGTTTTTGTTCTTGATTGCAGTACTTCCTAATCTCATGCACTCTGTGTGGTTTCTTATTAATAAAGGGAGATACTATTTCACCTCAATAACTGAGTATTTGAATGAACACATTCAATGTTTGTATTACCAAAAGCACAATGTGACAGATTAAAAATAATTTTAGCTCATTTCTAATTTAAAAACTTTTACTGTGTTAAATGTGAATTTGTTCTACTTGATATACAAATTAAAAATATGTTTCTATTCCTTTAATTCTCTAGAAGATTTCAACACAGGCATATTCCTGACGAGTATTATCTCCTCAGATGTGATGTGATGTAGTCTGGCAGAAGTTCATGACATTTCAAAGGAATGTACTGCCTCCATCTTAAATGTCAAACAATAAGGCAAGCAAGAAGCATCTTGCTGCTTGTTTCCAGTTTGGCTTACTCTTTGACTTGGAAGATGGAGGATGTAGCCTTCTCCAAAAAAGTAAATTTCTACTGGACTGCATGGTGCCACATCCCAGAACATAGCATTTTTCAGTCACCACTGTGAAAACCTTAAATTCAGGTGTATACTTACTATATGAATCAAGAGACAGAAATATTGACAGCCGATGGTTAAGAAAAGATAGCCTTTTCGAGAAATAACGCACGATCCACTGTTGTGTTTCGCACACCAGCCAGAGTGCGATATTTTACTAATGTACTTGCATAACCCAACTTGAGTATCCAAACACGATTAAAACCAAAACTGCAGGCCAAGAAACCTTTGTCAACTGAATCCCCGTTAGCAGACATCTATCTTACTTCTGTGGTCTGTCATTATTAGGCAACTGAGAATGACATGTCAGACATACACAGTTCCCCCCAGCAAACACTTTTCTGAGCATACACTTGGAAACAATTCATAATTTAAAAAAGAAAGAAAAACAGAAAGTGTCCAGATTCATTGAATTCATAATTGTTCTAAATTTTAAAAAGGTTCAATAAAACCAGCCATAAATTCTGTCATTTTCTTTCTTTTTACTAAATTTTGTTTTAATAGCTTTAAAAAATACACACAGACAGACCCCAAGTAGAAAATCATAGAGTCAACAATTCACGATACTGTACATTTGCCTTAAACAAGATCACACCATCATCATTACTGCTCCATTTGCAGATCGTCACAACTCCAGTTTATTCTGTGTAGTTATCATTTCCCTAAAACACTTGATAACAAACAACGTTTACGGCCCATTTTGCTTTCATCCCTACTATAGAGTTATGCAAGCAAGCAAGCATGTGAACCTAGATGTCCAGTCACTGTTAATGACTGGCAACAGGACTCTGCTGTACACAAACCCCCATCATGGGACTGTCTTCTCTGTCACTGCTGCTCTGCCCCGTGGGACCAGGGCCCCCACTTGAACCTTGCCTCCCCAACTTACTTGTCGCTGAGTCTGCAAGATTACTCCCTGTCCCCCCTGGCATCACTGTTGTAAAGTTGTAGCTCAAGGGGTTTGAGGATGCACCATAGGCCGTGGCAGCGGCAGGGTAAAAGCCCCCTGTCGCTGATACAAGGGGAAGGTTCAGGCTACCAGTTTGGGTGCAGTCCAAGCTAGGTCCAGCTGGCATAAAGCTCCCTACCGCATGTTCCAATCCTGGTTGATGCCCAACTAGTTCCAGAGGCAAGGATGAAGGGGCATATGAGGGAAGGAGACCTCCTGAACGTTGCTGGTAACGAGAGGTCCGATGGTGTGCATGTCCATGGTGGAAATGCGTAGGGCGTGTGGGTGGTGCCACAGCGGAAGTCACGGTGTTGGCGGCAACTGATGGGAAACTTTCACACTCCATTGCTGTCTGTGTTGCAGCACTCTGTGTGTAGTTGCTGTAAGGAACTCCTGTACCTGCTGAACTGCTGTGATGGTGCCCACTCCCAGGCAACACGACTGTTGGGTCAGACCGTGCACGACTCCCTGACACTGAGCTCACCAACACTGTGCGGCACAAGACAGTTCAATTAACAAACACTAAATATACTGTACTGAGTTACTTGTCGAGGGAATCTATAGCTTCACAATAAAGCAACTCCATTTATTAAAAATAAGCACTTTTATTAATTAAAATATATGCTTAGAAAACAGAAGATCAATGCAATTTCGAACTACATCCTATTTCAATCATTTCACAATTTTACCTCTCTCTGGAACAAACCTGGCAAAATCCAGAGGCTGAAAAAACATAACAGTCAAGACATATATTACAATGTAATTGGTTTCTGCATCAGTCTGTCATGTAAAGCACAATTATAGCATTCAGTGAAATATTAATTGTAAACCAGGTAACTATTTAGACATAATACTCTTGGCAGATGACAAAGTTTTGGACTCTGTATCGATGTACTATCACAAATCCATAAATTGCAATTAACAGTAACACAATAAAATGAGAATGAACTTGAAAAATTATTTTTAGTTGTAATGTACCCTTATAGTCAAGATCTTAGTCAAAAGTTATCCACAATGAATTTATAAGGTGTCCAAATTTGACATGGACTTTTTTAAATCCTACAGTGAAACTCTTAATTTAGTGTTTTTGCATTTAGTGTAATCCCATTTTTGAATAGTATTTTTTGTTGCTTTTTGATTTCAGCCAAAGGTCAATGGAAACAATGCAATACTGATGCATTTAGTTAGTAAATAAATAAACCAGTTAGTGAAATGCAACTGTGGTTGAAACAATCAATATTCACTTTTTTTCTCTTCCAGAAATTGTTTTCTATTTAGCTTATATTACTGATTATGCAACCTGTATTTGTCTGGGTAGAAACTGTTTCCTTAACTATTAATGCAACAAATTATTTTAATTATGCACAGAACATTTCATAGGAAGATTAAAAATTTGACATAATTTTGTATAACCTAATTTCAGAAAAGAAAAGCAATTTTTCCCTCAAGATTCACTAAACAGAGATTTCATTACAATGTTACATTCTCTTTTCATAGTAGTCTCTTTCCTTCACAACATGCCTGTTCTGGCATTCTGAAACTTTATCATGTTCCAATTTCAAAGTAAGGCGATGTCAAAATCATTCAATGACTGGACTTCCACAATGTCATCGAACTCAAGTTTCTTGATTTTGAAGTGTTAACAGCATAAATGGACATACACCATATACTGACAAATCAGGACCATAATGATAATAGAAGGCCAACACACAGCTGTTCAGTGCATTCAGTTGAATCAGCATGTGGACAGGGGTTGTTGTGGTGGAATCAAGCACCTCTGAATGGAGATTCTTCAATGCAGCTGGTTTCAGAGATTTTCAAGATACTGCATATTTACCCAGTATTAACTGTTGATTAGTTCACAGAAATCCATGTGAATTACAATTTTTGCACCTCAAAACAGTGTAAATCGCCTTGTTTGCTGATGCCAAGGGCCNAAAGAACAAGAAATAATTAGTTTAATATTTATGATACATATCTAATTCTTTTTTACTAGAAAGCTGTCTAGAGACATTTGTTTTTGCCGATGCTTCAATAGTTGGTGAAAATGCGACACGGCATTATCATTAAATAAATTTGTAGCACGCATAGCCACTGCCTTATTAGGGTGATGCTTCTCAATGTACGATGCAACAGCTTCCCATGCTTTCAGCATTTCTCTTATTGCGGCAGAAGATTGTTGCTTTGCTGTTACCTCCTCTGACAAACTCTCCTCCACAACTTCTTGCTGTGAAACACAATGCAACTCCATAAGCTCTTCGGCGGTCAGCTCTTGGCTGTGCTCTTCCACAAGCTCATCGATATCATTGTTATCCACCTCCAGCCCCATGATCTTGGCCAAAGACACAATCTCGTTGACTACAGGCTCCACAGGTACTATCTCAAACCCCTCAAAGTCACATTCGACAACGCTCTCCGGCCAAAGCTTCTTCCAAGCAGAAGTGAGGGTTCTCTTGGTAACCCCTTCCCACACCTTTTCGATCATCTTGAGGCAGGCAACGATGTGGAAGTGATATTTCAAGAACTCTCTCAGAGTGAGATTGGTCCCTTCAGTCACCTCAAAACAACGCTTGAAGAGTGCTTTAGTGTACAGCTTCTTAAAGTTAGAAATAAACTGCTGGTCCATAGGCTGGAGTAATGGAGTGTCACTGGGAGGCAGAAACTGGATCTTGATGAATTTAAATTCTTCAAGGAGGTCATCTTGTAGGTCTGGAGGATGGGCAGGAGCGTTGTCCATAACAAGCAAGACATGGAGTGGCAGATTCATCTCAAGCAAATATTTTTTCACAGAAGGACCAAACACTTCATTGATCCAATCAGTAAAAAGGACATGTGTCACCCAAGCCTTGTTGTTGGACCTACACATCACATTTAGCCTGCTCTTCTGGACTTTACACTTGTTGAAGGCTCGTGGAGTTTCTGAATGGTAAACAAGCAGCGGTTTAATTTTCAAATCGCCACTTGAATTGGCACAAAATAGCAGCATGAGACGGTCTTTCATTGGCTTATGGCCGAGTAATGCATTATCCTCTGCTGTTACATAGGTTCGCTTCGGCATCTTTTCCAGAAGAGACCCGTCTCGTCACAATTAAAAACCTGTTGCGGCAGGTAACCCTCAGAATCTAAAAGCTTCTTGAAGTTGCCGATGAAGTTCTCTGCTGCCTTTGTGTTTGAGCTTGCTGCTTCACCATGCCTTACAACGCTGTGGATGCCGGTTCTTCTCTTAAACTTCTCGAACCACCCACGGCTTCCCTTAAATGCTTCTTCTTCGGCCATTGATGATCCTGGCATCTTCTTAACAAGGTCGGCGAAAATAACTTTCTCACAAATGATGTTCCCGTTAATAGTGTTGCCTTGCAATTGCTTTTCGTTTATCCATACGAGGAGCAACCTTTCAACAGCGTCAAGAATACGTAACCATTGCATAGGTATGCTTGTCACTCCCTTTGAAGCATCTATCTCCTTAATCTTGTCCTTGTTCTTGAGAATAGTGCAAATTGTTGATGTAGACTGATTGTATGTGCGTGCTAGATCAGCCACGCTCACACCTCGTTCTCACTTTTCAATGATTTTACGTTTCATTTCTACGGTTATTTTTATTTTCTTATGGCTGTCTTTTTGCGGCTTTTTCTTCGGGGACATTTTTGCAAGGGTTATTAAACTTTGCACCAAAAAAAAAATCACAAATAATATGTCTGAACACAAGTTTGGAAAAATGTGTGATCACAAACGACACTAAGATGCTAGTGGAACGAGTGCTAAACACAGACTGATGTAGCAAGCAGACAATCCGGGACTTCCCTTCTTGTCACTCGTTATGTGAAACGTCGCTTATTAAGCGAGTCATTTTTTTACAATTTGTTTTGCTTGTTATGCAAATTACTCATTATGAGAGGTGCTCGTTAAGCGAGGTTCCACTGTAACTTGTCACATCTGATTTCTTGATGAAAAGACACAGGGACTTCAAATTATCTACAAGGTGATGGGAAAAGTTCTTGTGAGTTGATGTGAAGAATTTGTTCAAAACACAACGTAGAAACAGCACAAAAAGAAACACATATTCAAATTAAAATTGGCAAAGGTTTAATACTAAATTGGTCAGGTAGCTTTCAAGAATGTCCAACATGCAAGTTTTATTATGAAGAATGCACACAAACTATTGCAACAACATTTATCATGTATACAGAGAGAATTGGAAGCTTAGTACTCTGGAATATTCCTTAACAAATATAAATATAAATCACTCCGTCCAATGTGACCTGTAAGTTTTTTACTACATGAAAACTTAACACCCTTACATGTTTCGGTCTCTGTGGACCATCTTCAGAGGGCAAACATCACTACAAATAGGAAACCACCATCACATAAGTTGTTTAGACGTAAAGTACATACACTTATATGCTACAATACATAGTACACAAAACAGACATTTCACATTTTCCAAACACAGCAGTTTCCTGGGAATGTAAAGTTTTTTATAAAATTGTATAAAATTTCTAGATGCTAATTAAATTTTTTTTTTTTTTGGATTGTCAATAATTAAAATTCGTAAACCATGCAGGCTCGTGTTCGTCCTCCCATCGTCCCTCTTATATGGGGCAGATAATGTGCCACCTGGCTATCTTGATGTGGAGGTTCTTTATATCGTCCCGGCTTTGCTCGTGACTGCTGTGCTGTTTTCACAGCATGATTATTTTATTACTGCATGGGTAAAAACAAAGCTATCCCTGTAACATGCCATGAAGGCCCATAGGGTTGTGAGACATTGAGGTTCCCATATTTTCTCTAGATCAGTTCACAGAGGGAGGTAAGTTTGTCAGCCTTACATGTGGGCTGCTCTTTACCACCCAAGAAGACTCCTGGTACTAATTTCTATTAGAGGCTGAGTTGAACCCAGGGCCATAGTGCAGTTGGAAGGATTAGGTAAATTGAAAAAATTCACTTCATCGGGATTGAACCCTCGATCTTCTAGCTTGTAGCATAGTGCCTCAACCAACTACGCTACCATGTGAGCCCCTACTATTGCATAGACAGCATAGAAACCATTTTGTTTCTGTGTCTTGAACGGACATGAAATGGGAGTTTCATTTTTGTCTACAAATTCTGTTCAAAACAATTTTCAATATTTAGTGAGTCTGTGTGATTTTTGTGAGAGATGCACACAAAAATGTATTTTGGTAGTGTCCTCTATCACTGTCAAATCTAACTAACCCTGAAATATTCTGACATAATTCAGTAAAACTCCCAATATCAAATTTCATGAAAATCCATTTACAGGTTCTCAATTTGTCACATGTGGAGAGAGATGAACAGAAAAACATGGTGAAATTAAGTTGCGCAAGTTCTCGTTGCAAATGTGACAAAGTGAATATATACTGACCTACCTGGACTATTTAAGTCACAGTACCACAAGATAACATATATAATTAGAAATTAGACTTGTTTTCAGATATTTCAGATATTACAGGTACTGGCTATAGCATTTTTTT